AGGGCCTGTTCCTGTCACCCTTGTGCTGCAGGAAATGCCCAGAGGGATTGGCATCTACCTGGACTATGAGATGGGTCACGTTTCCTTTTACAGTTTGAATGACATGTCTCACATCCATTCCTTCAGGGATACATTTTCTGAGGTGCTAAAGCCTTACTTCTATGTCGGATGTGATCCCAAACCTCTTACCATCCTTGATTTAAGAGATTAGGAAGGATAAACTATCACTTTGCTTCATTTTCTTCCTGTGATTTATAGGCAGTAGGTAGAATTTTTTAAATTATAATTTTATTGTTACTTTATTTTTTAATATAGTATTTTTAATGATTTCAGAGGGAAGGAAGAGGGAGAGGGATAGAAACATCAGTGATGAGAGAGAATCATTGATTGGCTGCCTCCTGCACACTCTCTACTCTGGATCCACCCCCCAACCGAGGCGTGTGTTCTTGACTGACTTGAACCCAGAATCCTTCAGTCCAGAGGATGAAACTCTATCCACTGAGCTAAAGCAGCTGGACCTTATCTGCCTCCTGCACACTCTCTACTGTGGATCCAGCCCCCAACCGAGGCACGTGTTCTTAACTGAATTGAACCCAGAATCCTTCAGTCCACAGGCTGAAGCTCTATCCATTGAGCTATACCAGCTGGACCTTATTTTTACTTTATATATATATTGTTGAAAGTATTACCTGGTTTTTGTGGGTAGAATTTTATATACAGGTATCAGTGATCTAGCATCAAAATTTTTTTCTTTGGTTGTGTTGATTTTTAGAGAGGGAAACATCAGTGTGAGAGGGCACCATTGATTGGCTGCCTCCAGAAAGCACCCATGCCCTGACCCAGAATCAAACCGGCCCACCCTTTGGGTTCATGGGAGAATTCTCAAACTAACTGAGCCAGACTGGCCAGGGTTAGCACCAATATTTTATTAAAAACACTTCTGTGATTTGAAAAAAAAAAATTCATGCAAGAGGCTCGGCCCCCGGCTGCCATGGTTTCATCCGGAAGGTCGTCCAGTCTAATTAGCATATTGTGCTTTTATTATTATAGGTAATTAGTATTGATGTGATTTTTAAAAGATAGTCAGGAGTCCACTCCCAGGAGGAAAAGCCTCAGTTTGAGAGCTATAAATGTAATAATGAAATCATTAAGTAGCTTCACATAACCAGTCATACAGGTAAATGTCATAGAATAGTCAGAGATGAAGCTACCTATTGCCAGACAAAACAAGGAGGTTAAAATAAATGAACCCTTTATGCTCTTTTGGGTGGCACCATGAGCTCTGGCTTGTAAACTTAGTTTGGTTCAGAAATGGTTTAGTCCACCAAAAAGTGTTCTTTGGTGGTTATAATTGTCATAACCCCTCCCCCCCCCCCCCCCCCCCCCCAAAGAACAAAATCCCAGTGCTGTAGGTGGGTGATGAGAATGTGTCCTTAAAGTATCTTTAGTAGCAGAGGAACACCAAAGATGTATATTTTAGATTTAAAGATTTGTTTGGGGAGCTTCAGGGATGCAAGACTGACTTGGGGAGGGTAGATGTGGAAAGGGGGGCAGACTGGGGAACCACTGCAGGCTATTGGAAGCAAGAGCCTGAACTCAGGAATGGTGGTAGGGCTGGAGAAGAAGGAAAGACTACAAAAACTGTATAAGATATATTGTCCATCAATGGGGCTGGATAAAAAGCAGAAGGGCAACCCCCAGGTTTCTGGATTGAAAAATTGATAAATGATGACATCTTTTATGAAAATAAGATATAGAGGAATCCAATATTAAATGCAGTTTAACTGCTCATAATCTTCCAAAGCTACATTCTGCTAAAAAAAAATCAGCAAATCTAGTAAATATCTGCCTTGCCTTCCAGACAATATCAGTTTTCAGATTTTAGAGACAGTAATAAAGTCAATTGCTAGTCTAAACGTGGTTATCAAGATTGCAGAAGGTTAATGAAGAAGGTTAATGGGAACTTTGGAACCATGTCATTTTAAGATGCATAATAACCAAGAGAGTATGTATCGGGCATAGGCAATTAGGTTAGCAGTCTTTAAAAAGCATGTAGTCCCACTACACATGCATTAGAATGGCTAAAATCCAGAACGCTTACACCACCAAATGCAGGTGAGAATGTGAAGCAATAGGAATTCTCATTCATTGCTGCTGGGAATGCAAAATAGTACAGCCATTTTGAAAGACAGTTTGGCGCTGCCTTATAAAACTAGACACAGGGATCATGAAATACAAAAGCCCTAGGCATTTATCCAAATTAATTAAAAACTATGTCAAGCCCAGCCAGTGTGGCTCAGTGGTTGAGCATCCACCTATGAACCAGGAAGTCACAGTTCAATTCCCCATCAGGGCACATGGCCGGGTTGTGGAATGGATCCCCAGGGTGGGGCGTGCGGGAGGCAGCCAATCAATGATTCTCTCTCATCATTGATGTTTCTCTCTCCCTCTCCCTTCCTCTCTGAAATCAATAAAAATATATCAAAAAACAAAAAACTATATCAAGAGATTCCAAGATGGCTGCAGAATAGTTGGAAGCTCTGTCCTCTTACTCCCAGCCCTGGACCAGACTTGCAGCCAAATTGCAGAGCAATCAACTTGAAAAAAAACAGTTGAAATGTAGCTGATCTGAAATTTTATAAACAGTAGCACAGAGGAAGAGGGGAGGAGACAGGGAGAGGGTGAGCCCCCTCACACAGGGGCGGGGTCTGGGAAGCCAGAGGGATATTGTGGCAGCAGAGTTCTCTTCCCTGAGTGTTGGGTCTCAGCCTCATGCAGGGATCCCAAATCCAGAGCATCAGAGAGAGGAAGGGGAGCCTGCATAGTGTCAGGCGGTGGGAACCAGTGGGGATTCAGTCCATTTGGGAGGCTTGGACGGCACCATCTCAGGGAAGGAACCATGCTATTGTTTTAACGCTGGCCTAGGAAGTTGGCTCTGGTCTGTGACTGCTGCAGGGGCCACTTGGCAGTGCGGGGACAGGTGGAGACACAGAGACCATGAAATACTAGTACACCAAGTGGAGAGGTCTGCTCTGTACACCCAGCAGTGACTTTGAGGGGCCCTCTATTCACTGGTAGGACTTTGGACAGAGAGCCAGTTGGAGACTAGACTGTGTGGCTTGGAAAAGATCTGTCTTGTCCACCTCAAGTGCACTGGTGAAGCGCAGCGCCCGCCCCCCCCCCCCCCCCCCCCCCCCCCCCCCCTTGTTGTGTTCCAAGACAAAAGAGAATGGTGCTGAGCTGAACATTTGGAAATTTGGGCCCAGCTTGCTAGGCTTGATGGTGCAGGAGGGTTGGACATGTGTCCTGTGCAGAGTCCGGGCAAAATTGGGAGTTTTGGCATTGCCCAGCAGCGGCTGGCCACTGGAGAGATAAGATCACCAAGAAGGGCTGATTTTTTGACCCGCTCCTGCTTTGTTAGATGGCATAGGGGTGTCAGGGAGCCACGCAGAGCTGGGGTTTTGAATATCTCCTGAGCAAGCTTCTGTCTGGGAGTCAGATGGGTATGTGCTGGGCTCTCTAGCTGCGTTACAGGGAAACAGATCCAAGCTCCCAATTGAGTTCTGTCAGGGAAACTCTAAGGTGAGGAAGTGCCCACCCCACCCCCTACAGATTTTGGGCACTGCCCCAGTGGGGGAACAGTTTGAATCACCCCTGCTAGGTTCTGGATACCCCCACTGAGCACAGTTCTGTGGGTAAAGGCAGAGCAGCTCAGAACGGGGACATTCAAGACACACCCAACCTCTGGGCTCCAGGGGATGCACCCACCTAATTACTAGGGGCTCTGCCCTGGCAAGCTTCAGACAGGTTGCTGACCTAGGCAGGGTCAGCTTCTGACATTGGCTTATACCAGAGAAACCCCTCGGAGGCCGGGACTTGTACACCAAGTGGCCAGCTTCAGACAACACCCCAGCAGGATCCAACAAACTTCAAAACCAGCACATTCAGAGGGTGATTTCAGCACAAAAATCTGCTGAAGTGAACCCTGCTTCTACCTTTTTAAATCTTGTCTTTATTTTTTTTCATTTAAATTTTTATTTTCTTCTTTGTTTCTTTCATATCTTATTTCTCTCTATCCTTTTCTTAATCTATTTATTCTCTTTTCATTTCTTATTCTTTTTCCATTTTTCTTTTCCTTTCTTCACATTATTTTATTTTTAAATTTTCTTATTCTGTTGTTTTTATATTTTCTTTTCTATTCCTCCTCTCCTTTCATATTCTTTTTTAGAAATATGTTTTTATTGATTTTGGAGAGAGAGGAAGGGAGAGAGACATCGATCAGCTGCCTCCTGCACAGTCCCTACGGAGGATTGAGTCCACAACCTGGGCATGTGCCCTGACCTGGAATCAAACCGGTGAACTCTTGGTTCATTGGTTGATGCTCAACCACTGAGCCACACCAGCTGGGCTCATAGTTCTCTTTTCTGTTTCTTTTTTCTCCTGTAATTAGCTTTGTCTCTTGTTTTTATATATTTTTTTGTTCCTTTTTTCTCGTTTTCTTTTTCTATTCTTTTTGTTGTTGTCATTGATTTGTTTTATTGCATTGTTTTCTGTTTTGTTTTGTTCTGTCAGCACCTGTACAACATCTTGCATGACATGTTCAGGGTTGCACCTCACAATCAGCCAGCCTAAGAGTCAAGCCCATCTACAAATGGGACAACTACAATCAAGACACAATTAGAACAGGAGGGCCCACATAACCCACACAAGGGACATTCCTAGAGCACCCTGCTCAGGAGATCAGGGAGACTGCACCACTGGGTCCTGCAGGGCACATACTACATAAAGGGGCCACATGCTAAACTATAGCAGCCTTGCAAAATCAGAGACCTAAAGTAACCACAAAGGATGGTCTGAAATTAAAACTTTTTAACTAAAAACAGGTTATGACAGGTAGTCATGTCCTAGGCTAGACTCTTCTCTGACAAAAGTCAATCTTTACCTTAACTAAGCCTGTCTATTGTCTTTTGCATCTATGATAACATACCTTTAGAATGTCAAGGTAACTTCCCCTTTTCCAGACTACTCAGGGAACTACCAATGCACTAGATTAGAGACTACAAATCATCTCATTGATATTTTTATCATGTTAATTGCTGACTATTAACTATCCTGCACCCACCTATGAAAAAGATGTATCTCTTTACTTTTTACCCAATCCCAGAAGTTACCCCTTTTGCTTCCTCCTGCCTCCCTAATCTATTACCAATT